TGGAACTGAATTGAGTTGAAAGATCATTGGTGGAGGAATTGATATCTTTTCAATATTAAATGTTCCTACTCACGAATGTGGCACCTCTCCTCACTTACTTAGCGCTTTTTAAACATCTGTCAGTTAAGTGTAACTTTCCCTGCAGAAGTACTGTCTGATTTTTGTTAGATTTAGTCCAAAGGACATGATTTTTTTAATGCTATTATAAATGGCATCATCTTTTTAGTTATATTTACCGGTTATTTCTTGGCTTATGTACAGCAATGCTATTGCTGTCTGTGCATCTTATATCTGGTCCCTTAGTAAATTCTCCTTTTATTTCTAATACTTTGTTAAGAGATTCTCTTGGATGTTTCTATATAGTCAGTCATAGCATCAATTTTCCCTAGAAGTTACACATCTTTTTTACATTGATTCTTATGTAGGTGATATGTAATGTTATTATACATGGTATCACATTTTGAATAATCTTATTTTGGGCTGGTGTAGAGAAATACTATTACCTTTTTAAGATTAATTGCATCCTCCCCATATTACGGATGAGAAAACCGAGGCCTAGAGAGTTTAAATAACTTGCCAAGGGGTCACTATGCTAGTAAGCAGTGCGTTTGGATTAAAACCCACCATCCGCTCTAACTGCAGAGCCAACACCATCCCTCCCCAACTGCTTACTAGCAGAGCAGAGCAAACCGTGCACCTAAGACTACTGTTAAGAAGCAAATCACACAAATCCCACTTCTACCTTTTGTTGCTTCCAACATCGTATCACGAGGATTTCAGATGGCTTTTTCAATCTTTCTAGATACTCACTGAAAACTTTCTAACTATGCACGTCTGGAAAAATTTTTCCATGACACTAAGTACAAAATTCTTCTGCAACCCTCAGAGAAAGTTAGTATATAACCTAGCTAAGTCTTTAAAATGTATGCTGTGCTTTTGGGAGGCTGGAACAGTTCTTTTGGAGTCTTTCTGCTCTGGTGGATAAGTTCAGATTCAATCAATCTCTGAAAATACACATTCAGTTGCCAATAGGCTTGTATTTTGATATGCAGCTTATAACACGCAGTTAATGGGCAGGAACTTCTCCTGCGGCGCTATTTTGGTCTGTGAAACATTTTTCAAGCCTTGGTGATCTATTGATTAAATCTGAATTCATACATTTTTATGAATTCATGAGCTTCATAAGATTCAAAAGACCATAACCTATGGTAAAAATCACCTGTCAATTAAAAAAAACAAAATCAAAGCTGTTCTGAAACTACAGTGGACCCATGAGAAGAATCAGGGTGGAATGCAGTTTCTCATCATTTTAGAAAAGACCATTTGAGGGGAAAATCTGTGCAAAAGCAATTGTTCCCAGGCCAACGCTTTATCTTACATGTTACTGTTCAGGACTAGATTTTATAGCAAGATTCTTCAGCCCAGAAAAGGATTACTCAAAACTATCCAGCGTTTAGAAAAAATCAGGATCACTTATCAAGTTAGAGCCAGACTCGAGAAAAAGCCCAAGTCCTTGATTCTCCCTGGGGCCGCCTAGCCACGCTGCTTCTCCTGGGGCACGAGAGGGAGGCTGAGTCAGAGATCCCACTCGGAATCTGGCCGAGAGGCGCTGCAGTGTCTCCTGGACAGTGGACTCGAGACCAGCGCTGATGGAAAGTGGGCTTTCTCTCGGGGGCCACTGTGAGTCATAGGCCAGGTAAGCTCTAAAATGCTCTTTTTCTAAAATTCCCATTAGAAGCATAATGCACGGAGCTTAAACAAAGGGGACTTGGGCTTTTCTGACACTGTTTCCTGTTGACAACCACCCATCCCTACACCTCTGCATTGCGTTTTCATCGAAGTTTTGCTCATTTGCTTGTCTGTTCCCGAGGCACCAGGAGAGGCCAGGATGAACAGTGTTACTACTCCTAGAACAGAACTGCAGGGAAATTGAGAAAAAGGTTCCTTACGTGGCCACACACCTGCTACCGCGAATGCTCAGCCACGGCGTTGCTTTCTGGTCAGCCCCTGCAGCAGATGCCGTGGAAACGGGAAGAACAAAATAAGGACTTACCACATAGGCGAGGTGGGACCTGGTGATCACGGCTGTTCTTCTACTAGCAACGGCAATGCTGAGAGGAGAACCCGCAGCCAGCCGAGGACCCCGGTTCTCTGGCAGTGACACCTCCACTCTCACGTCCACCGCCGTCACCGTGGTGCCGTCCGTGACGGAGATCTCCATACCGTCTTCCCGGGCCGAGGAGCCGTCGTGGAAATACTGCAGAGCATTTTTCTCAATATCCTCGTAGGTGAAAGTGTCACCTTCCAGGAATAAAACAAATTGCAAAACCAGTTGCTTATGGGAATAATGCTTTTCGTTTATACAGCACCTTTCTTCTCAGGATTTCAAGGTACATATAGGATCCTAAGCTCCGGGAGTTATAAACTAAT